AACCTCCATGAAAAGAAAAACAAAAAATCACAACGGCATCCGCATGAGGAGAGGCGGGGACGGCCCAAAACCGCCACGCGCAAGAACAACAGCCGCCACTTCTCCGCCTCCCTCGGGAAAGACGCAAAAGGAGGTGGAAGGGAGACCCGCTGCCTCAATGGGAACCAGTTGTTTATGCAGTTAACGTCGCCCACGTGCGTGCAAGTACACATGCTGTGGGCACAGTAACGAGGGCCCACAGAAGAGCAGAATACTCTACGCCTTACATTTCCAATGAAACAATGAAAACAATAGTAAAAAACCACTTACTTTATTCCGACCTGCCGGCACAACAAAACACGTCGGTATTTAAATGGGGACTGCCCCAACACCTGGGCGAGGGCCCAACAGGACGCCCCACCACCTTCACAACAACTCAGCGGGAGGAAAATGATGGAGGCGCCGGGGGGCCCCTCACCCGCCTCCCGTAGCTGACGGGGCGTCCAAACTTCACCCCAGCCACGAGCCGGGCGCCGGGACGAGGCTGGGAAACGAGGACGCTCCTGGCCGGTTTTCGCCGGTCATACGCCGGGCAGCGCCATCCCCCTCGCAGGCTCACAGTAGTTAAAACGGTTCTGAGAAATACAACACACACACAACAACAAAAACAAAACGGAACAACGCCAAAGTGACAATAATTCCGATGAAACAAACAAGCGAGCCGCGCCCGGCGTCCCCAGGGCACTCCGCGCGTCCGCCTCCTCCGTCCCAGTCACGGACCTCTTCCATTAACTCGTCTTGTTTAAGCTTAATTTTTTATGACGCCTTTATCCGGAAAAGCCCAGGAATCGACCCCGTGCCTTTCCTCCCCGCACAGCTGCGGCTTCACCCCCTCCCCACCTACAGCTTTGTTACGCCTTCGCTTGTGCCTTCTGTCCCACCAAACCCCCACGCCCAGAGCGTTTTCTTCTCTACGTTTTGCGTGACCTTCACTGTGCGCGCCGCCGCTGGCAACCTCAGGCTGCCTCCAACCTCGCACTTTCCGCCTGTGCGCGCTCCTCCGCCAGCTCCTTGGTGGTGGCAGCGAGGAGATCCGCCACCTTTGGCGTGACGGTGGCGTTCTCGAAAAACTGCCACTCACCTGCGCTGCACGTCACAGGAAAGGAGAAGAAGAGGCCAGGCGGCACTCCGTATGGGTTTCCATCGGAACGCACAACCATGGACACATGCGTCCCCTCTGGCGTGCCAAGCATCCAGTCGCGTACGTGGTCCACGGTGGCGCTCGCAGCCGACAGAGCTGACGAGCGACCGCGCAGCCTGAGAACCTCAAGCCAGCGTTCCCGCACGATTGTCATAAATTCTCCGTCAAGGAATGCGTCGTCTTTTACCGCCTCACGCACAGGAACGCCCTTCACAGTGGCGCTGTTGAAGTCCGGAACCTGCGTGCTGCTGTGGTTCCCCCAAACGATGCAGTTGTTCACGTCGTCCACCAAGGCACGGGACCGCTCCGCCACCAGCGCCGTCGCACGGTTTTGGTCCAGCCGCGTCAGCGCCGTCACGTTCTCCGGCTTGAGCTTCCCATTCGAGGCATTCAGCAGAACATGGGCCATTGTGTTGGCGGGATTGGTCACAATGCACACGCGACAGTCAGGGTGGGCCACCTCGCCCAAGACGCGGCCCTGCTCTTCGATGAGCCTGGCGTTGCCCCGTAGGAGGTCCTTCCGCAGCATGCCGGGCTTCAGCGGGACGGAGCCGAACATGATGGCGAAGTCGGCTTGCTCGAAGGCCACCTTCGGATCCGGCGTGGCGAGAACACGGTCCACCAGCGGAAAGGCGCAGTCAACGAGCTCCGCACGGACCCCCTCGAGAACACTCATGACGGGCTCCACGTCCAGCAGGTTCAGCTGGAGGCGCTGCTTGGGGCCCAACATGCGGCCGCTGGCAATGAGAGGAAGCATCGCGTACCCAGCCTGGCCGGCCGCCCCCGTCAC